TAGTCCGTCAATATCTTATTTTAAAGCTGTCGCATCTGAGCAGCCTACTTCACCACCTATGCACTATAATTGCGGTAAGAGATCTACAAACATATTAGAACGAACACGGGCTTTATACAAATGATTACGATGAGTTTTATTACGGTTTTTAGGATCTTTTTTATGTATTTATATGTCATACGCTTTTACCCAATAATTTTAGTCTCTCATAACTCTGCTTAGAGTGGCTCGTGCTACACCTTCATATTGTTATACCTTGTAAATATTTAAGTATTTGTAGCAAACGAGGTGAGACTTTAATAAATCATCTGTCTGTCTGCTCTCGTGCGCATAGCAGATTAGCCATCAGAGAATTGCACAGAGGATGAAAGCTATATCATTATTACTTAAAAGTGTTGAATTTGGTTCGTACGATTTAATTGTACGGTATACATTGTTATACTGTGAAATCTCCGCGGTTTTTTAAAACAGTAGCCCTCGGAAAAATCATCTTCCGCGTAAAAATATAATCAAAGATTTAAAAGTACTCAGAAAAACCGTCGCGGATTGTCCTTTTTTTTTTATCAGAGCTTTCAGCACCAAACATGCCTTTATTATTATTCATAACACAATACTATTATTGTCTGATCTTAAGTTTCCGGACATCATACGTTTTCTATCACGAATACTTGCACTATAACGAGGGGTGTGGCATCACACAGAAATTGTAAATACTCCGATCATGGCTTGTTTTTGTGATAACGTTGTCTTTTATAAATGAATGATGTGTTTCACAGTTGTTCATGTAAAAAAAATATGAATGTTATTCAGCGTCCGAAAACTCATAACACGGGGATATATGTTGTATTAATGTATTAATGTCTTAAGTTTTACAAAAGGTAAGTAAGTACAAGGTAAGATTTTCTCAATATGCTTTAACATGGGAAAGGGTCAGCCATTACACGTTTGTAGCAGTATCGTAACTGCTTTCGGGCGTCCAGTGCGACCCTACTACAGTTACTAAATGTATTGCCGTTCCTGGTCATCATGGTCAATTACGCCATGACTTTGCCCCTCGCCTTGTCCGCCGCGGCTCGGCTCCGTCAAGGCGTGATTTGTCTAACGACGCTTACTCCAAGTTGTCTCTATCAGCATTCATACTCGCATAATAAAAAAAACGCAACACCAGCTGTATACTCACATAGTTTTACTTACTCTCAGCCCATCTATCAATGCAGGACAGGATCAGACCGGCCAGACTCGTCACTAAGTGGTGAAAACTTACAACGATCGGGATTCGACTCGATCGATTGCAAACCGCGCTCTCCTCTCCTAATGTTGAAGATATCATTTTATAGTCTTCTGGCCTGTCTTTGTCACATGTCATAATACCTCATTTTTATTCGTTAAAAGTTAGATCTGACCATGAACTCGTGTGTGTCGTAATCGGAAAAATACAGCAGCCTACGTGCCAGATTGCTCATCTCTCTATTGATTTTGTGACTCGCCCCGGATGCTCCAAATGAAATATATCTTGAAATTCTCTCCTTTTTTCATTAACTTATGGACGATAACATGGAACCAATCCAATGACAAATATGAAATGTCAAGAATACACTTGTGATAAATATGAAATGTCTTTTATCTATTGATTCCTTTCGAACTAAAGGTTCTCTGTCACAAACTATATCTAATGCAACTCCTCATTGCAGCTATAACGGTTTTATTTGTGAGATGCATTTTTAACCTTATGACAATACCAATGGCTCGCAGACGCTCATTTTCGGACAGGCGTGGCATTTTGTAATGTTGAATAATTGCGTCATTTGGTTGTTTTTCTGAGTGGTTGCTGTCAGCACGATACTAAACAATGCATATGGAATCCCGTTAACGCACATGTTTTTATACCCATTCATGGGTAGTGAAATGCATGGGGCTTGCATAAAAGTCAACTTTTGCATGGAATGCATGCTTTTCTGTAGCAGTTGCGTTTTTGTGACTTAATTCCATACATGTACTACAATATTGAAAACCAAACTTTACTTGTTTGGAAAATACACTAAAATATTGGTGTCACAGGAACTTTTGTTGTTGAGTATAGTACATCATGTTCAAATTAAGGCGTAAATGTTCCAATGAGCACTCCTTTATATATGCCGTTCTAGTAACAAAATCATAATATAAGTTCACAAACGAACTTTTCCCTTGCGAAATATATGATACAAAGATAGAGATAGCATATGTAGGCAATTGTCCTCATCAGTCTGTTAAAAGGAAAAATATCATACCAGGGCCTGATTATAAAGTCTGTTCTTCAATAACATTTAGTATGCACGTCGAGAGTCAAAAGCATTACAGATCTACCTCCGCTGCATTTAACCCCGTGGTGACCAAAGTTGCGAAAAAGGTCCCCAGCCACATACGCTGGTCGTGTAAGAGGCGATCACATTGATCGGGTGGTGGGGGCTCGGTGACTTGGTTGATTGTGTGTCATCGTACCCAGAATTCGAAGGCGTAGATCGTTGCTTACAATCATTTCAGTTCAGTTCAGTTCAGTTTAAATTCAAACGGTGGCACATGAGATACATTATAATATAAATTCATAATTTAATAAAAATATCAGTATCAAGATGACAGGAGTGAGTGAGTGAGTATGGTTTTACGCCGCTTTTAGCAATATTCCAGCAATATCACGGCGGGAGACACCAGAAATGGGCTTCACACATTGTACCCATGTCGGGATTCGAACCCGGGTCTTCGGCGTGACGAGCGAACGCTTTAACCACTAGGCTACCCGACCGCCCCCAAGATGACAGGAGAATTGTGCAAATACATACAGTGATCAAATGTTACAATGAAATATGACAGAATTTATTAAGTAACAAGAATCTCATACACGTTTTCGAACAGCTTCAACATTTCTAAATATGGCATTGATGAATTGGACAAGTTTTTCATATCTTTTACTCTAATGCTGGATAAACATTTTTTAAATATATATACTAGTATATTAGGCCATTCGGAGGGATCTTTAGGTATGTACATAGACCGCCCCTGGTGAAGCGCTTCACGTCTAAACAGGTAATGAAACTCGTCACCAACCGCGGGAGAACTACATAGATTACACAAACGTTCCTCTCTTGGGATATCAGACCAGCGACCAGTTTCAGTTGGTAAGATTTGGTTTGTACGTAGAGCTTTTATTACGGACACAGGTAGGCGCTGACCAAGAGTGTGACAACAAACTCTGACTGACTGACTGACTGATATAGAAGATTTAACGTGCGCTTTCCGACTGCAGCGTATTTCGCACACGGGAAAACAAACTCTGGTCGACACGATATTTATATACATGATAATAATTACATCAACAGAAGTACGATAACCATTGGCTAACGTTCGAATATAAAATGCTGCGTTCTCATTGGACAGTATATGCAATGACTTTACTTTACTCATCTATAATGTAGCGGAGACTTGCCCTGCATGACCTGTGGCATGTCGCCTGGGGCGTCAATCATCCATGCTTAATTACAAATGACGGACACTTTCGCAAAGGACGCACAGACATTTAATTATCTGATAGAACTTTTATTGTGCGACGTCAGGGCGCCAACTGTGCTGGACGATGCGTTTTTACTTTAATGGTTAGGCTTCTAACTTTATATTTCTTTATGCTTACAAAGTATGGACATATGCATGCACATAGTAAATATATATACATAAAAGGTGTCTGTATGACATCACCCGGTTGGGTGTGAGTCATTGCTCCGCTGTGACAAAAGATTGACAATATCCATTTAATGAATGAAGGCAATAGAAGTAAAATACACGCAAATAATTGTATGTACAAGTGAGACAAAAGTACAAGTTAATTTCACCAACGCCGTGGGTTTGTACCTTAAGGCCGGGCCAGTTAAGAGTTAAGGAGCATTGCAATTGTTCCCACCTGAAGGCAATGGATGAGATCCATTGTTCCATTAGGGGCTTTAGGTTAGCTGGACAGGAGTAAAAGGAGATAATGTATGCAGTAGCTTTCATTCAGCGGTTCCGGTTCCAGCACAGAACACTTTCATTTGAATGAACATGAATAAATTGACTTTACACAAGGTCACAAAGGACTGACGGGCCAAGCTGTGAGACTTAATTATCTAATAGAACTTTTATTGTGTGACGTCAGTGCCCCAACTGTGCTGGACGATACGGTTAATGATTTAAATTCTGACTTTATATTTCTTTATGCTTATAAGTTATGGAAAAGTGTATGCACATTGTAACTATATTTACATAAAAGGTATATATGACAATATCATAACGCTTTTTAGAGACACTAGATTTTTAGGATAATATATATCCTAAAAATATATCCTAAGAACTAAGATCTGATAATAATGAGATTGGTTCGAATCCCGGTTGGCCCTGATGATAATTCGAGGTCTGTTAGCGCCATCCGTGGGTTCTCCATTGAGGTACTCTGATCTGTAAGGGGGCACGGGTGGCCCAGTCGTCTAAGGCGCCGCGATTCGCTGTGCAGAGTTGTGTCCCTTGGGCACGCCAGAAACATATGATTGTGGGTTCGAATCCCGGTTCGCCCCAATTATGTTACTAGATTTGTCAGCACCATACCCGCGCTCGTGGGTTTCACTGAAGTGGTAAACGTCTGAGACCTGCATCATTTCGGGCTTTCCTCCCACATTAAGCTGGCATGCCGTGATATAACTGGAATACTGTTCAAAAGCGGCGTTAAACCGTTGTTATTCACTTGTGTTTCAATATCTGAAAAAGCTTTTACTGTTTACAGTTTTATTCCGGAAAAAAGGACATGACCGGCACTAATGTATCACTCATTTTTAATATAAAAAATAATTACAATCGAGTCGACAGCTGCACTGTTTACGAAAGCACACATACAGGACATCCAGAAATCAATTAATGGCACCAGATGTCGCAAGTTTTCCACATAAAGACAATCCATCTAAATTAAATCCGCTATTTAGTACTCCCACTGGTATTGTAGTCATTACCCGAACGTCGGGAGGGATAGAGACTGTGTTTGAAATTCATACGTTTCTAGCCTGGTTGCAATCTCTGAACCAGAATTGTTTGTTAACTAGGAGTGGCGCACCATGCAAGAGACAGAGACACGGCATTAACAAGAGATGAGCACAGGCTGTAAACGTCAGGTAGGTTCATCTACTTGTTCCCACACGTCATATTATATATCCGTGTTTGTTGTTTAACGCCGCACTCAGAAATATATCAGCGGCTGCATGTACATTATCATCGAGTAATGACCAGATAATCCAATGATTGATATTGCGAGCAACGATCCACTTCGTCGGGGTGTGATGGCGCCCTATTAACCAAGACACCGAGCTTACCACCCCCGCGATACGACCAGCATAGGTTGCTGGAGAGCAACCCCTCCTCGGAATCACCACGTTGTCCTGTGTGTGTATAAATTTTAATACAGTAAGTTCTGTTTGATAGCTGGAAGCTTCAGTGTGTTGGCATTTCCAAGGTACCATGCAGTTTAATCAAACTAAAATTGATATATCTACATAATTATGCACCCGTGAAGATCCGGGTTAGAATAGGTCTTCACCAACCCGTGCGACAATGCTTGTTGTAATAGGCGACTAACGGGATCGGGTGATCAGACCTGCTGACTTAGTCGATGCATGTCATCGTATCCCAATCGCGTGGATCGATGCTCATGATGTCCGTCACTAGATTGTCTGCTCCAGACTCAATAATTTACAGACCGCCGTCATATACCTAGCATATCGCGGCGTTGAACAACAAACAATTAAACATAATTATGATCTAATACCCAGGTTCTGTTTGATAAGTGGTAGGAATGTATATTGATATGCATAGCATATTGAGCCAGTAAAATGAGATTAGCGTAAATTGTACAGAATTGTTAAAAACAGTGTATGCTACACGGGAGACTATCTGAACAGGCAGAGAGGAAGGTATCTCAGCATTACGATTGACATTCTACAGAATTGTTATCAGATTGTCATTATTTGATAATGTTGGAAAGATGCGGGTTTTATTGGGTTTTGTTATATGCAGTGAGTGAAATAAGTTGTGAAAACGCGGGGTTTAAATGCGCCTGGACCAGACAAACCAGTGATTGACATTATGTGCAGCGGCCAACGATTCAATGCCGGGGTTGCCCATACAAGGGTTAATGGGATTGTAGGAATGCAGATATCTTAACCATTTTTTGAGTACAGCGATTTAATTTATTTGATTTAGCATTAGATGCAGTAACTAATTATTACACAATTGATGGGTTAGGAATGCTCATTCCACTTATCACTGTTCAACAATGACAATATACCCTCTTAATGTTCCTGGTATTCAAATACGTACAAGAAAGGCAGTCTCTTGGATTTCGGGCGTAGTATAGGTCCCCATTATTACATGTTTGTGTTACGAGGCGCGTCACAATTGAGGTTCTAATCTATTGTGTCACCGCACCTTCCACGGCCTATGTCATTGCTCATGATATCAACCACTGTTCTGTCCCAAACTACCAATCATGCGAAACCCCAGGGACGGGTAAGGTGCTGACAAACCTACAGTCAGCGCGAGTTTTGTATTCGAACCACTGATCATAACATTCTGGTACGGATACTTCAATAATTAAGGATTGACTGTGTATTTTTTTCGGTTCATTGAGGTATGAATCGAAAATCCAATGTGCAAACTGTATGAATCCGCGTAGCGGATTCTTACAAAAGTTTTTGCACATTGGTTTTTCGATTCATACCTCAATGAACCGAAAAGAATACACAGTCAATGCTTATAATTAAATTCGACAGCATAAAACATGTTTTATCTACAATAGTTTAACCAAAAACAGTTGTATATATCAAAACAGACAAAAATGACGAGATTGATAAACATTCCAGGTGTAGGAATACATACTGTGCGTGACATGAATCAGGTGATTGTTTAATTTATGCACATAAATTGACACGCCTACACTGTCAGTAGCCAATCAACGGAGAGCAGGATCAAAACAATGTTCATTGGACCTGTCAGTTAAGACAAGAGGCGAAAAGAACTGCAACAGTCAGACTGTAACGAACTGGAAGAAATATGTCCGGGTGAAGGCGGCTGTTTCAAATTACAAGGTCAGTTACCGCCAGATTCAAACATTACTTCCCTGATTACGGTAAAACACAGTTGTAAAAATGCTAGTTAGAAAGGAAACCCGAAGACATCAAAGTTGAACCGAGGCGAGCAGAAAAAAACAGGCGAGCGAGCCTGCACGTTTGCTGTTTCATTCATTCTCGGCCATCGGTTTCAAAGGGTAGTTTGGACAATGCATATGCACGAAAGTCGCTAAATGTCCTGTGCATGACGATACACGTGAGCAGAAAGGGAATTCCCTCGGCTTTAATATTGGGATTCCCCGACATTTCGAAGTAATAAAAGTAGTGCGCCTCGGTGGGCGGGGCTTAATTTTTTACATTCATTGGGAAATGAATGCAATAACACGTGACCAATTCAGCTAATCAGAATACAGGAATTTCAATGAACACAACGAAAATTTAATTATGGACAATTGAACAAAATATGCTGATTCATTTCTGTCATGTAACAGACACATCTGGGGACTCCGGCTAAGAATAGGTCCCCAATAACCTGAACTGGTCGTTCGCGGCGACTTAATGGATCGGGTGGTCAGACTCGGTGACTTGGTTGATGTTGCGTCGTGATTATCACGCCGAAGACCCTGGCTCGATTCTCCACTTGACTACAATGTGGGAAGTCCATCCTTGGTGTCCCCCGTTGTGATATTGCTAGAATATTGCAAAAGTAACGTAAAATCCTACCCACATTCAATTGTTACTACATGCGATCATCACAGTGCCACCTGTTGCAAACGTACGTTTGTAAAAGAGTGAGTTAAAATTTAAAGTCACATCGGCAATATTTCAGCAATATTGTGACTTTCAAAGGTTGTTATAAAATAAATATATGTACACTATAAGAACCTGTCAACAACGGACAGTAAAGTAACTAGACTTATCAGGGATTATGATTTAAAACTGGCATGGAACAGTAAAAATACATCACTAGACAGAACAGTACATTATAAAAATAAACGAGCTGAAGATCGCCAGCAACTGAAGGTAGATCATCATACTAGGGACCATGGGGACTTACAGTACTTTAGCTTCCTGCATGAACCCCAGCAGGATTTACATAATCCCTTCAGGTGTTGGCGTTTTTGACAATTTAGCCGAATTAAAAGAACACATATTCTGCGATTAAAACCGTGGCAGTAATAAATATACTGTGAATGACGTGGACTCATCTCCGAATGACCTTTTATACTACTTCAACTCCCTTCGAGGTACAGCCACTAACAATCTTAGTTATCCAATTTATTTTACCAACATTAAAATATCATTAATTAATTAGAAAACACATGTTTGAAAATTGATGAAACAGTTCTATTTCTTTTAAAAAACCAAGGATTAAATGAGAGCCGATATTGTTAATGAAACTTTAGCCATGAAACTTTGAAATATTAAGCCTTTGTGATGGAAAAATCAATAGTCAAGGAGGACAGGCTTTACTGTGATTCTCTCATCACAAGGGATACAGAATGGAGGATCTTCACCTTTCAATATATATTCATGAGTATGTCTTGAATGGCCAATACGACATCGTCGCATAATGACCACATCAAATCTGGACTGGCAACCCAAGTAGGTGTAACCGATATTTGGTTTAATTTCATGTAAGTAATTAATACTTACTTGGGTGTCCCACTTCTTTTGCATTAGATCTCGGATGAAAGATCTAATCATGGGTTTATAATCAGTGTAGGGGATCAGAAGTGGTGACATAGATTTGCTGAGTGCTGCTTTTGCAGCAGCATCTGCCATTGTGTTACCAATGATTCCAATATGACTTGGTAACAAACTGGCTACTGGACAGTAGCAATATCATTAAATAATTCAAGAATTTGGATCATAAGTGGATGTTTACATGACATATTTTTAATAGCCTGAAGGCACCAAAGAGAATCTGAAAAAATTATGAATTGTTTATGTTTAGATTGGTTATTGATATATTTTAGAGCTGATAAAATGCCGTTTGCTTCTGCTGTCAAAATTGAACTGTTAGCTGGCAATCGTGAAGATATTGTTCTGGATCCAATGACAGTGGCACCAGCAACTGCGCCACCATCCTTGGTTCCATCTGTATGTATAGATTTATAAGAGTCATAAGTGTTTCTTAATTGATTGTATTCTTGTTTATAAATTAGTGGGTTTGTGTCTGATTTCTAAAGTTTAGTTAATGTCAGGTCGACAGCTGGCCTTATCATTTGCCAAGGAGAGGATGATAAAAGTTGAATGGGAGCTGTATCTTGTAGGTTAATTTTAGCAGCGGAAACAACAGATTTAATTCTTATTCCAAGTGGCGGAATAAGAATTTATTTCTTAGTGTAAAGAGCTTCGTAGAGGATGAAACATGCATTCAAAAGCTGGATTTGACTGATTAGAATATATTTAGTGACGTACTGTAAGGATAACTTCAGACGGCGTTGTTTAAGGGATGGCTCATCTGCTTCGACATACAGACTTTGAATGGGAGAAGTCCCGAAGGCTCAAAGGTTAAGCCCCAGGCCCTGTGGATGGAAAGTATCTAGTTTTTGTAAATTACTTTTACATGCTCAACCATAGACGATGGAGCTGTAATCAAGTGTGGAACGAATCAGCGCTGTATACAAGTGTATGAGGGTTGTCTGATCCCGCACTTTGACATTTTGTTCTGGTCGGCGTCAAACCCACCACTTTGTTCCCAGGACACAGCCACTCCCAAATCTACAATTCCATCCTTAACCCAGATTGATCATTCGAATTCGTCAACAAGGATCGACGTAGCTGGGATCGATCGCGTGATTCTGACAGGGGATCGAACTTCTCAAGATCAACGTTCGACTGATAGATCCCAAACGGACCCTACCGATTCATCACAGACCACGCCTGCTCTTCATGATAATCACCATCTTTCAGAAGAAGATTATTTATACATTCTTTGGATATGATAGTTGACCTGCTGCCATTCCCGTCTACAGCTATGCAGATCGGTGGCGTCTCTGGGATCGGTCCAGCCTTCGTCTGGACTATCAACAACTGGGCTCCACTAAGTCAACGTCCCTCTTATCACTGACGCTCTACTTCCGGATTGATCGACTCGTTAAACATTAAGATCCAAGATTAGAACAGTCCCGGGATCCACAATGTCCCTAACCCCACCAGACCAAACATCACCGACGGGATGGCATCTCCAGGTTCAATGCTCAGCTTCCAAGGCTCGTCTCTCCCAACCCAGAGTTGCCAATAAATTGGGAGTACCGGGGCATTTTCAAAATGTTGCATAAGAGACATTCCATGATAAATAGGGAGACAAACTTCAAATTATTATGGCAAGGAAGAGAAGAATATGAAATGTAACTCCTGACTGACTGGGTTGTCAGTCCTAATCCTCAAAATGTTTGTAATGCGAGAACCATAATCAACAACATCAAGATACAGGTTACAAACATTAGGTGTACTACCAATCTTATTAAAATCAGATCTTCGTTCTCGCTCCGCTACATGTAGATCAGAGGGATCACGTCAGAAATATCTATCGCGACACTTGACTAACCAATGAAATGTCTTGCACGAAGTTAGCCAATCAAAAAGTTTCAGACTTGCCCCTTCCAATCCGAAGTATGCGTTGAGTACTCGATTCAAAATTTGTAAACCTGGAATGTCTAAAGGATGGCTGAGATTGTATGGCAGTACGTCCCACGGGGGATCGAAAGCCTCTTACGTTTCAAACGGTTATCCCATTGAAGTGAGACGATGAGTTTCACGGAATCAGTCGTACAGTCCGTAACTGTCTTCGGAATACCCGTATAACAGTTTCGAGGTTGAATGATGAGAAAAATACATTCCGACTGTCACTTTTCCAGTCTGGTTAAAGACGTTTTGATTAGTGGGAGGAAAGGTCGTTTATGGGTGTTACGGGTGTTATGTGTTGTTTCCCGAATTGAAACGAAAAGGTTAACCCAAAAAAAAATCGGTACATACAAAGCTAAATTATGAAATCAGTAAATGAGCACACAAGATAACAATAACATATTATATTCAAACACAGGATTAGGTTAACAATCATTAAAGGCAGTACAATAGGTCAAAATATGTGGCAGCAGCAAAAATGAATCGGCCGTAAATACATAAGTCGGTGCACTCACGAATGTCCACTATTTGTCACAGTTAAATGTTTTGAATGAGGCACGTGGTCTGTTCTTGAATCCAGGAAACAGTGTTGGAAGCAGGCAGACAGTCGGGGTTATCCGACAGATGGAATACCTGGATAGGTCGCAAGTCAGGTCCTAGAAGCAAGGCCCTAAATTGCCCTCGTCTCACTTATATAGGAACAGCCAGTTGTTAACTGTAAACAAGCCAACTCTTCACAGCGGAGCTCTCTACACCTGGGGATAATGAAGGTATAAAGCGCTGGTACGGAGTTTGGACTATAAACAACCAAGGGAGGTCACTCTATATCAAGGTCACTACAACAACTTAAAATTGTACGAGCGCCTCAATAAATTGCTGTTACTTATTTTTATCAGAAGTAAAATTACAATAAAACACCGGACACAAACAAATCTTAGTAATTTGCTTACACAGCGGATCTTGGTTTTGTCAAATTGTACATTGTCGCTTCAGGCTCGGTACCCCCGGTTGTAGTGATCTAGATGCAGATATATGTAAGAAGATCATTTCTGATGATACAGCTTTTGCTTGTGGTAACATTCCTGAAAATGCCTTCAGTTCCTTTTACATGTGCCCAAAATATATTGACATGGAAACGTTTCATTTTACTATACTTGTATACTTGGCTACTTGTACTTGTGCGGAGTTATTGCCGATTTTATAGAGCTAGTTAACTGATATCCAATGTCGCAACGACGCGCCCTTGTGTCGTTACTTAGCTATTTCTGGATCAATTAATATCACGGGTGTCATAAATTCACTATCCTATTATTAATCATATACTTCAGTGTGAAAGAGTCGGTCTGTGTGTTTTTCTAAGTTGATAAAAGAGATATTTCCATTGTTTGAACATAACACTGGCTACGCCACTCGTGAAAATATCTCCTTCCCCCGACACTCGATGAGAGAAACATGTTATTTCATTCTACACATGAAATCTCCTCGATATCTTTACACAAAGATACAATAGGGTCTGTGGCTGTTTGTTATGACGCGCCCAGGGGATTGAACCACCGACCTTCCACTAGACCACGGAGGCGGTCAACCAATTATTTGACATAAATCATAGATAAAACGTGAATGTATAAAATTCTGAGTAAAGGCCTACAAGCGATTAACACTACTTGGAAGAGATGAAAAGGATATATTTAGAAAATGTACAATTTCATATTATACAGATTAAGGAGTCACTGGGGCACACTAATTACAGATAAATTCGGAATGTATAAAATTTGGAGTTGAGGCCTACAAGCGAATAACACTACTTGGAAGAGATGAAAAGCAAATATTTAGAAAATGCACAATTTTATATTATACAGATTAAGGAGTCACTGGGGCACACTACTTACAGATAAATTCGGAATGTGTAAAATTCTGAGTAAAACTTTCCAAGAGATCAACACAGAAAAGTTAAGAATAGATATAAGCCCTAACCGAGATATTGGAGATATTACGAACGCTTCCGGTAGAGATGCTGACAGACTCGGATTCTAAGTAATTACAACGCAGCAATAGTCAACGATAACGATTCATCATTTTTATTTCAGTTGACGTAGAATACGGCCAAGATGCGGGTCTTTATTTGTTTAACATGGCTGACATTTTTAACAAATGTCCAATCCGTGCCGGCGTGGTATAAATCACCGAGGGAGGCAATACTGGCCACAGAGAGACGGCAGTCCATCGGGGCGATGCTGACTCTCACCTCTGAAGAGGAAGCTGTCAACAAAATAATAATGGCGGCCAAACAGACGGAGATCAACAGTGCCATCTATGACCACAGCAACTTCATTCCCGCAGTCCACTTCTTCCAAGGCCGACACCTAATGGAACAAAGCAAGGTATTCAAGATTATACAGCAAATGCCCAAAGGTAAATGCGAATGAGAGGTTTGGTCGTTTCCTTTGTCATAGCTTCGTGTCGGTGTAAGTTCTAACACTGTTATCAAGCAAGTGCTTAATAACGGTGTTAGAACCTACATCGAAACGTCGCTCCTAATATCCCCCGCCCCAACGAAGTTGGCGGGGGATATAGAAATGGGTTCCGTCCGTGTGTGCGTGTGTGCGTGCGTGTGTGCGTGCGTCCCGAAATCGTTTCCGGAGCATAACTCAGAAACCGTTTAATATTTCTCTACGAAACTTTGCATGTCTATCAGACATGCTGAACTGGTGCCTTTTGCTATTTAGGAATTTTATAAATTTTTATTTTTTTTATGATTTTTATGAACTGTGATCCGGAATTGAACCCAAAGGTGGATAACTCTCAAGTATTCTTGTTGACGCAGACCGCCAATAAATGATAATTAAGAAACAACTGCACTTGATATTTTAATTTATTTTAACGGCCCTCTAATGCCTAATGAAAATATATACTTCATAATCTTCAAATGAAATATTCTTTCCGTGTATGATATATACAGCCGCATCTGTTTTCCCCGAGATAATGACTTTTGTTGACCTTTTAATGTGATGCCACATCGTTTCAATTATGCCACAGGTGCTGCTCTACATTTACACTACGGCTCCATTACAAGCAGTGACTGGCTGGTGAAGAACGTCACATATCGTCCCGACTGTTACGTGTGTGTGAAGCAGAAAGTTATCACTCAGACCGGGTTTTATGTTACACCTCCGTCAGATAAAGGTAGGTCGTCGTGGTGATGACGTCATATTAAACACACGTAGGTCCATATTTTCCATGTGACAATCTAATAATAACCGCCACCAAAATGGGCCTACTTCCGTAGACCGCCTCCGTGGTGTAGTTAATAGAGGGAAGGTCAATGAGACGAACCCCGGCCGCGCCATACCGAAAGACGTTAAAACACAGTACTTGTTGTTACCCTGCCTGGTACTCGGCATTAAGGGGATGAAACAAGGACTGGTCGGCGCGGTATCCATGTTAAACTGCGTATCTCAGTGGACTAGCAAAATAAAACCACACACACACACACACACACACACACACACACACGAGCATACACGTCGCTATGTAAGTTGAACGCAACGTTACACCTCGTTTCACCTCGCCTACCTCGATATGTGGGTTGTTTGTTTAAAAAAGTGATATTTATTTATTCAGTAACTGCTTTGAGACATATGGTTTTTTTTCTGTAAGAAGGAGTCAACATCACAGCAAACCACGTATCAGGCAGGTACAAGGAACAATTATTTTGTTGTAAAACTCATGGCCAAATTATGTTTTTTTCAAGCAAGTTCCCGAATAAATTATTTAAAAAGAAAACGAAGACTAGTCTTGAGTTGAATCAGGCGAGAAATACTTTTCTTAATGCTATCGTGGATTCATTTCAGATTGCAAATGGCTTCGGATTTCAGCTGAACGTGCCAAGAGCAAAGATATTACCGAATTCGACCAGTGGTAAGCTAATATACGGTAAAACCTCGTTAAACAGAACTACATCAACTGAAATATTGTTTTAGTCGATGCAACATTACGATATAGGCAGCTTCTGAATCGCATTCCTGTGGCAATTCCGGGCAAGACCAGATTCCAGTGTAAACCATGAATGTCCGGATTGTCACAATTTGTCACCTGTCTGATTGTTGGTCATTGTGATCTCGCTGATTGATCGTCATTGTTACCTGGCTGGTTGTATGTCATCGTGACCCGGCTGCCTGCGTGTCACCGTGACCCGGCTGGTTTTGTGTCATCGTGACCCGGATGGGTAGGTGTCAACGTCACCTGGCTGGTCGTCTGCCATCGTGACCCGGCTGCTTGCGTGTCATCGTGACCCGGCTGGTTGTGTGTCATCTAGATCCCGCTGGTTGTGTGTCATCTAGATCCCGCTGGTTGTGTGTCATCGTGACCCGGCTGGTTGTGTGTCATCTAGATCCCGCTGGTTGTGTGTCATCTAGATCCCGCTGGTTGTGTGTCATCGTGACCCGGCTGGTTGTGTGTCATCTAGATCCCGCTGGTTGTGTGTCATCTAGATCCCGCTGGTTGTGTGTCATTGTGACCCGGCTGGTTGTGTGTCATCTAGATCCCGCTGGTTGTGTGTCATCGTGACCCGGCTGGTTGTGTGTCATCTAGATCCCGCTGGTTGTGTGTCATCTAGATCCCGCTGGTTGTGTGTCATCTAGATCCCGCTGGTTGTGTGTCATCTAGATCCCGCTGGCTGTGTGTCATCTAGATCCCGCTGATTGTGTGTCATCTAGATCCCGCTGGTTGTGTGTCATCGTGACCCTGCTGGTTGTGTGTCATTATGACCCGGCTTGGTGCGTGTCATCGTGACTCGTCTAATTGTGTGTCGTTGTCACCCGACAGTGCTGTCGTTGCACACACAATAGACCTCTTGTGTGATAACCTGTGATAACTTTAAGCTTAGACACATATTTACCGCTCACAATCACCTCTTGATATAACGAATTGGATGTAGCGAATATTTGGCTTAAACGAACAAGGTACACAATGCATTGGTAACACGAACTACTATAATAACCGACTGGTTTCAAGGTTACACCTGACCTGACCTGACCTGACCTGACCTTGATTCCGGGTTGGAAATGGTCACCAGCAATCTATGCTGGTCGTAACATGCGATGTAATGGATCAGATGGTCACACTCGGCAACTTAGTTGATTGCGTGCGTCATCGTACCCCGACCACGTCAATCGTTGCTCAATACATCATGTCATCACAAGAATCTCTGGACTAAACCTGATTATTAACATGTTGACGCCCAACAGATGGAGAGTTGCTGAACGTGGCGTTAAACAACAGACAAAGAAACACAAAAAACTAACAAAAACATGTTTTTTTGTATTGCAACAGGTTATACAACAATCTGACTCTAACGGTAGACAACCCGGAAGTTGCATACCCAAATATTAACGTCATCTGGCGTCGATTTAAACAGTATTTCAAAACAGTTCATGGACTCCTCAACAACGCGCCTGTGATGAAGGATGCTCTCTACGAGACACTGAGAGAGTTCCACGTGGATGGCGTGCAGTACCTGGAGATCCGTATTGGTCTTATACGTGTGTGTACATCATTGGTCTTCATTACTGACTATCAAATATACCTTGTATGTATTGTACTTTACACTGGGACATTCCTCGATTATTTGGCCAATCAGAGGTATCAAATCACAATAGCCACCGGTAGGCAATTTTAGATAATTAAATGTACAATTATAGGTTACAAAATGTGGTTACTACAATAGTCAAAGCACATGTGGCAATACATTCTGAGCAGTGAAACTCCATAGAAATTTACCAAGTGTGTATATTTTAAGCTTTGGGGGACACCAGAGAACATGAAATTTGGCGCTTTTCAACTGTGACGTCATATGTCTGCGTCACAATGAGCGGGCTGACGTTGTAATAGTAGGTGAGGTGAGGTGACATGGGGTTTAACGTCGCGTCCCAGATTATTGCACTTATATAGCGACGTGCATGTACGTATGTGTGTTTGTGTGGCTGCTTGTACTAGTCCGAACTGATGCCGATTTATAGTGCTAGCTACCATGCCGCAGTTTAACATGAATACCCCACTCAGACACAGTATACTGACTCCGAGCCGACCAGTCCTTGTTTTAGCCCCTTAATGCCGAGCGCCAGACAGGGTAACAACAAGTACCATCTTTTAACGTCTTTGGGTACGCGGGGCACATCTAGCGCAAAATCAGGGATATGACTGAGATACTCACCTATCGAACTCACCCACTCACCCAAATAGGCAAGGAGCACGTGAAGATTCGGGATAGTGTAGGTCTTCAGCAAAATATGCTTTCAGTAGAGGCCGACTATGCTTGTCGTAAGAGGCAACTAACGGGATCGGTGGTCAGGCTCGCTGACTTGGTTGATGCATGTCATCGTATCCCAATTGCGTAGATCGATGCTCATGGTGTCAATAAATGGATTGTCTGGTCCAGATTACAGTCCGCCGTCATATAGCTGGAATATTGCTGAGTGCGGCAATAAACAACAAACACGCAAGCAAGATCAGCAGGGCCATGTACATTTAACTCCAATTCTGTAACCAACATGTCTTCTAAACATCGTGTTGCAGCCGTATGAAGTAAACGGGACAACCCATGATCCCACGTGGTTCGTTGAGACTTTCCGTGACGTTGTCAACCAGTTTAAACAAGATTATCCGGACTTTTCTGGCGCCAAATTGATCTTAGCTGGACGAAAGTAAGATTTGTTAAATGGGTGATGTGATTCACCCAACATTACATGATTTTGAAGTTTCTGGAACATTGTCAGATATGATTTGAAATGACGGTTGAATACACCCCGATTCTTGTTGCATCGTTTGCTTAGGTTACCATAATCACTGACCCATGAAGGTCCGGGGTAGAATAGGTCTCTGCAACCCATGCGTGCCGTAAAAGGCGACTGTGCAATCCCCATTGCGTGGATCGATGCTCATGATGTCAATCACTGGATTGTCTGGTCGAGACATGATTAGTTACAGACCGCCGTCATATAGCTGGAAGATTGCTGAGTGTGACGTTAAACAACAAACAAACAAGCCATGATCACTGTACTTGGCAATAAACAACTTTAGGAAGTAAAAATGTTATTTGAGAGTGTATGCATGCTGCGTTAAAAGAATAGTTATAACCCTGACCTCATGTTTAAATAGATCCGCAGTGACATATAGTGTTGGCTCAATAAATAGGTCAATTATAAGTTTGAAGAAGTACGTATTGACTTATTTCCTTTTGTGAATGATGCACTTTCATTAATTATGTATTCATAATACACAAGCGAAGTCCCACAGCATCTTTGAGGCAAACCATTATACGAGGGTTGAATGAGTAGTGCTGGGCCCCACATACGATGAATTGCTTAATAGTGACATCTCTTGCTATGGCCCTTGGAGAACACCAGCATAAAGATATGAAACCCGTGAAGATCGGGGTAGAATAGGTCTTCAGCAACCCATGCTTGCCGTAAAAGGCGACTATGCTTGTCGTAAGAGGCGACTAAGGGGATCGGGTGGTCAGGCTCGCTGACTTGGTTGATGCATGTGATCGTATCCCAATTGCGTCGACCGATGCTCATGATGTCAATCACTGTATTGTCCAGACTCGATTATTTACCGACCGCCGTCATATAGCTGGAATATTGCTGAGTGCGGCGTTTAACAACAAACAAACCAACCAAACAAACAAACATAAAGATATGAGTAGAACACTAGAGAAGAATGTCAATTCCTATGCCACCGTAAACAGGTGGGCGTGGCAAGGAAAGCGCCTTGGTGACGACCCCGTGATAGAACCCGGAATTATGTTTAAAGCGGCGTTAAAACCAACTCATTCACTCACTCACTCCGCGATAAATGTTGCGGTTTTTGCTATGTAATTTTCGGAGCGTCTCTCTCGCAAGAACCAGGGTGCCTTTGTTCAAAACAACCTTAGCGCTACGACTGTCGTAAGTCTATGTTAAGGTATGGGAGTTACGATCACCTTAGCACTAAGATCGCTTTGTACAACAGCACCCAGGTCGTTAATTTTGCGTTAACGAGAACTAAGATATCGTTTTAATGAGATTGAATATTGTTCAAAGCGGCGTTAAACCCAACCCACTTAAACTGTTTTCAGGGTAAATCGTGCTAGTGCAATACTGCAAGATGTCAAAGTAGTCACGGACCTGGTAAAAAGATTCCCGGACGTTATCCTGGGATACGATCTTGTCCAACAGGAAGACGTCACCCACACCTTGCTGTATTATATATCAGATCTTCTGTACCCAGAATCTCACTCGAGTAATCTCCCCTACTTCTTCCATGCAGGGGAAACAGGTAGGTGTGTCTCCCTTACATATGTACTATCACTTTAGCTTTAGTCACAATGTATCCTACCCATAGCAATGTAGGGAATACGAGATATACAACACACCGTCCATAACGTAAGATGAAGATCGGTGGTCACAAGGAGTGACTTTCTGGACCTTCTGGACTGATGTCAACTATGTCAAACCGGTGTTTGATCGTCAGCAATTAACCACGTGTGGGTGGGGCCAAATATTTTAGCTTCCCCTTGACATAGCTGAAACATTGATGAATTCCGCGTACAGCATGCTCATTAAAATGGAAAACAATGTGTGTGTGGGTGTGTGAGAGAGTGTGTGTTTGTATTTGCGTGTGGGTGTCCGCAGATTCAAGACATACAAAAATATTATCTGCAAACCATTTTTCCAACATTTTTGTGAACGGATAATTATTTTTCTAAACATTTCCCCCCCCTATCACCACCCCTAGAATATCAAATCGGGGGAATCCATATTGGAACTGGTTTCGTTCACGTGACTATGACATGTCACAACCTAGTCTTGCCTTTTTGACCCGAATATTCAGTTCAGAACAAGACACGACACCTTATTCCAGTTAAACATACAACAAGTTGGTTTTTTATAGTTGTATAATGCAAACTTTATGCCTCTATTATCCAGTGTTCTATATCGCCAATGTATAATGATAAATACCCTGAAGGGGCGGTGGGGTAGCCTAGTGGTTAAAGCGTTCGCTCGTCACGCTGAAGACCCAGACCTGTACGATTCCCCACATGGGTACATTGTGTGAAGCCCATTTCTGGTGTGCCCCGCCGTGATTTTGCTTTAATATTGCTAAATTCGGCGTAAAACCACTCACTCTGGACTCATTCACCACCAACTTTCGTTGGAGGATATGCCGTCACCATCTCCATCTCTGTTTTTAGGTTTTAGTTTAGGCTTACTTTAGTGTAAATTTGATCGTTTGTTTCTAGCGTCGTGTCAGTCGTTTTGGGCTCAGCAGTGAATTGGTCCAGGGTTTTTATCATAATAGAATGGTGATAAATTACACTCTCCTTCCAGACTGGCTCGACATCCACGACAATAACCTCATCGACGCCATCCTCCTCAACACATCAAGGATCGGACATGGCTTCGCTATTCCGAAACACCCAGAGGTGATGAGGCTAATCAAGGAGAGGAACATCCCGATAGAGGTCAACCCTATCTCTAACCAGGTAACATTAACGTCAACCCTGTCTCTAACCAGTTAATATAGACGTCAACCCTATCTCTCACCGGGTAATATAGAGGTCAACCCTATCTCTAACCAGGTAACATTAACGTCAACCCTGTCTCTAACCAGTTAATATAAACGTCAACCCTATCTCTCACCGGGTAATATAGAGGTCAACCCTGTCTCTAACCAGGTAATATAAACTAAGTAAAGATACTTTACTTAGTACTCCAACTTCGAAATGCCTCTTAAAGAAGGTAATATAGACGTAAACCCTATCTCCAAAACCAGGTAATTTAGACAGCATCTACCAGCAACCATACCTCTAACCAGGTACTTTGACATCAACCCTATCTCTAACCAGGTTATATAGACGTCAACCCTTTTTAACCCTATCTCTAGCCAGGTAATATGGAGGTCAACCCTATGCCTAACCATGTAATATAGACGTTAACAGGTAACATAGACGCCATCTACACCTAACAAAGTAATATAGACCCCTCATCGAGTACCGAGTGTTTCACAGCTGTGGTGGAAGTTAAAGGATATTCCGATAGAGGTCAATCCCGCAGGCCATTTTCAAATACCCAAGCCCCTGTTTCCCTGAAAGCCTCACATTGTAAGAAAAAACAATGTGCCCTTTTCTTGCAGACGGAGTGTAGTCAAATGTGAAAAGTCAAATTTTAAATTGAAGTCCATAACTGTCCAACTGTCAGTTCGTTATTTTGACATCTTTAAATCACACACACACAAACACACACACACACACACACACACACACACACACACACCACACACACACACACACAGCATCCCATTACATCTCTTCAAAAATTACATGATTTCTCCAAAAGGCGAATTTATTATTTTGTTCCCTTAATATGATATTCCCAAGTAAAGAATCTGCTGTTGGTGGTAAATGCATACTTAAACAGAACACATAGGTTGACAGAAACGTGATGGCACGTGGAGATAAATGTGACTGGAATCATTGCTTCCTCCTTCAGGTACTGAAGCTCGTCTCTGATTTGAGAAACCATCCGGCGGCCATCTTGATCTCTCAGGATTTTCCAGTGTGCATCAGTTCGGATGACCCGGCGCCCTGGGAGGCCCTTCCACTGTCACATGACTTCTACATGGCGTTCATGGCTCTAGCTGCATCGGATGATGACCTCAGGTTTCTCAAACAACTGGCAATCAACTCCATGAAGTAAGCTGAGAAGGATATCTTACATGGAGGACTAGAGGCGGGTTATATTGTCCCTTAGACCTTCCATATATTTTGTGCGTTTCTTAATCCGCGACCAGTTCCGAGGGAAATAATAAAAGGACAATTTGAAAATTAAATAGATGAAAAGACAACTTTAAGAATACAACAGATACGTTATCTGTAGCATACGGTATGTGAAACGAGGTTGACAATTTCAAGTCTTGACAGCAACAGTAAAAATCTGATTACCGGTATATATTTTCGAAGCGCATGTTCACATAACTCAGCAGACTGAAATATAGCTGTAGAGATACTTTCTTTCTTCGAATATCTTTCTGGAGAATGCGTTAACGAAACGGCATATTCGTTGAATCTTTTTTCCTGAATTGGATAACAAATATCCAATTGGGGCAATGGATGGCTTGACTAATTGGTGTTTGTGCAGTATGGTAATGTCGATGAGGAAAGCATTTTTGACAAACCTGGAACAAATCGTATTGATATCTACTGCATTGCCAACAACAAGCTCAGTTAACAACACTGTTTGCCCTTTTATTATTCACGGAATCGGAACATAAAAAAGTTCCTTTGATGAAAGCCATTAGTTGGAGTATGCTGACGACAAAGCAAGTATAAAAATTGATCCACGAAGAAAAGAAACACTGTAAGGTCGTGTGGGTGACGGTGTACGTACTTACGTCTGTCAAGAGATTGTTGCGGGGAACTGTCACGTCATCATATACATGAGGGGGCACGGGTGGCCAAGTCGTCTGTGGCGCCGCGATTCGCTGTGCAGAGTTGCGTCCCTTGGACACGCCAGAAACCTATGATTGTGGGTTCGAATCCCAGTTCGACCCGATTATGTTTCTAGGTTTGTCAGCACCATACCCGTGCTCGAGGGTTTCACTGAAGTGGTAAACGTCTGATACCTGCATCACTTCGGGCTTTCCTCCCACATTAAGCTGGCACGCCGTGATATAACTGGAATACTGTTAAAAGCGGCGTTAAACCCAACTCACTCACTCACTCATATACATGATGTATTCATGTATTTTTATATTTCCAGCTTCAGTGGAATGACGAGCCAGGAGAAAGCCTCAGCACTTCGGCTATGGGAAACGAAATGGAACTCATTCCTCAAACACGTTCTTCGCTCGCATACCACGCCCATTGTAGGGTAGCATGACTGTGACATGCCGTAGTGTTACTATGTGTCTTGTCATAGTGTTACATTGTGTCATGCCGTAGTGTTACTATGTGTCTTGTCATAGTGTTACATTGTGTCATGCCGTAGTGTTACCATGTGTCTTGTCATTGTGTTACATTGTGTCATGCCGTAGTGTTACTATGTGTCTTGTCATAGTGTTACATTGTGTCATGCCGTAGTGTTACTATGTGTCTTGTCATAGTGTTACATTGTGTCATGCCGTAGTGTTACCATGTGTCTTGTCATAGTGTTACATTGTGTCATGTCGTAGTGTTACTATGTGTTTTGTCATAGTGTTACATTGTGTCATGCCGTAGTGTTACTATGTGTCTTGTCATAGTGTTACATTGTGTCATGCCGTAGTGTTACCATGTGTCTTGTCATAGTGTTACATTGTGTCATGCCGTAGTGTTACTATGTGTTTTGTCATAGTGTTACCATGTGTCATGCCGTAGTGTTACCATGTGTCTTGTCATAGTGTTACATTGTGTCATGCTGTAGTGTTACTATGTGTTTTGTCATAGTGTTACATTGTGTCATGTCGTAGTGTTACTATGTGTCTTGTCATAGTGTTACATTGTGTCATGCCGTAGTGTTACCATGTGTCTTGTCATAGTGTTACATTGTGTCATGCCGTAGTGTTATCATGTGTCTTGTCATAGTGTTACATTGTGTCATGCCGTAGTGTTACCATGTGTCTTGTCATAGTGTTACATTTTGTCATGCCGTAGTGTTACCATGTGTCTTGTCATAGTGTTACATTGTGTCATGCCGTAGTGTTACCATGTGTAATGTCATAGTGTTACATTTTGTCATGCCGTAGTGTTACCATGTGTCTTGTCAGAGTGTTACATTGTGTCATGCCATAGTGTTACCATGTGTCTTGTCATAGTGTTACATTGTGTCATGCCATAGTGTTACCATGTGTCTTGTCATAGTGTTACATTGTGTCATGCCATAGTGTTACATTGTGTCTTGTCATAGTGTTACATTGTGTCATGCCATAGTGTTACCATGTGTCTTGTCATAGTGTTACATTGTGTCATGCCGTAGTGTAACCATGTGTCTTGTCATAGTGTTACATTGTGTCATGCCGTAGTGTTACTATGTGTCATGCCGTAGTGTTACCATGTGTCTTGTCATAGTGTTACATTGTGTCATGCCGTAGTGTTACCATGTGTCATGCCGTAGTGTTACCATGTGTTTTGTCATGGTGTTATAATGTGTCATGCCGTTGTGATACTATGTGTCTTGTCATAGTGTTACATTGTGTCATGCCGTAGTGTTACTATGTGTCTTGTCATAGTGTTACATTGTGTCATGCCGTAGTGTTACCATGTGTCTTGTCATTGTGTTACATTGTGTCATGCCGTAGTGTTACTATGTGTCTTGTCATAGTGTTACATTGTGTCATGCCGTAGTGTTACTATGTGTCTTGTCATAGTGTTACATTGTGTCATGCCGTAGTGTTACCATGTGTCTTGTCATAGTGTTACATTGTGTCATGTCGTAGTGTTACTATGTGTTTTGTCATAGTGTTACATTGTGTCATGCCGTAGTGTTACTATGTGTCTTGTCATAGTGTTACATTGTGTCATGCCGTAGTGTTACCATGTGTCTTGTCATAGTGTTACATTGTGTCATGCCGTAGTGTTACTATGTGTTTTGTCATAGTGTTACCATGTGTCATGCCGTAGTGTTACCATGTGTCTTGTCATAGTGTTACATTGTGTCATGCTGTAGTGTTACTATGTGTTTTGTCATAGTGTTACATTGTGTCATGTCGTAGTGTTACTATGTGTCTTGTCATAGTGTTACATTGTGTCATGCCGTAGTGTTACCATGTGTCTTGTCATAGTGTTACATTGTGTCATGCCGTAGTGTTATCATGTGTCTTGTCATAGTGTTACATTGTGTCATGCCGTAGTGTTACCATGTGTCTTGTCATAGTGTTACATTTTGTCATGCCGTAGTGTTACCATGTGTCTTGTCATAGTGTTACATTGTGTCATGCCGTAGTGTTACCATGTGTAATGTCATAGTGTTACATTGTGTCATGCCTTAGTGTTACTATGTGTCTTGTCATAGTATTACATTGTGTCATGCCTTAGTGTTACTATGTGTCTTGTCATAGTGTTACATTGTGTCATGCCGTAGTGTTACCATGTGTCTTGTCATAGTGTTACATTGTGTCATGCCGTAGTGTTACTATGTGTCTTGTCATAGTGTTACATTGTGTCATGCCGTAGTGTTACATTGTGTCATGCCGTAGTGTTACTATGTGTCTTGTCATAGTGTTACATTGTGTCATGCCATAGTGTTACCATGTGTCTTGTCATAGTATTACATTGTGTCATGCCGTAGTGTTACTATGTGTCTTGTCATAGTGTTACATTGTGTCATGCCATAGTGTTACTATGTGTCTTGTCATAGTATTACATTGTGTCATGCCTTAGTGTTACTATGTGTCTTGTCATAGTGTTACATTGTGTCATGCCGTAGTGTTACCATGTGTCTTGTCATAGTGTTACATTGTGTCATGCCGTAGTGTTACTATGTGTCTTGTCATAGTGTTACATTGTGTCATGCCGTAGTGTTACCATGTGTCTTGTCATAGTGTTACATTGTGTCATGCCGTAGTGTTACTATGTGTCTTGTCATAGTGTTACATTGTGTCATGCCGTAGTGTTACTATGTGTCTTGTCATAGTGTTACATTGTGTCATGCCGTAGTGTTACTATGTGTCTTGTCATAGTGTTACATTGTGTCATGCCGTAGTGTTACTATGTGTCTTGTCATACTGTTACATTGTGTCATGCCGTAGTGTTACATTGTGTCATGCCGTAGTGTTACTATGTGTCTTGTCATAGTGTTACATTGTGTCATGCCGTAGTGTTACCATGGGTCTTGTCATAGTGTTACATTGTGTCATGCCGTAGTGTTACTATGTGTCTTGTCATAGTGTTACATTGTGTCATGCCGTAGTGTTACTATGTGTCTTGTCATAGTGTTACATTATGTCATGCCGTAGTGTTACTATGTGTCTTGTCATAGTGTTACATTGTGTCATGCCATAGTGTTACCATGTGTCTTGTCATAGTGTTACATTGTGTCATGCCGTAGTGTTACTATGTGTCTTGTCATAGTGTTACATTGTGTCATGCCATAGTGTTACCATGTGTCTTGCCATAGTGTTACATTGTGTCATGCCGTAGTGTTACTATGAGTCTTGTCATAGTGTTACATTGTGTCATGCCGTAGTGTTACTATGTGTCATGCCGTAGTGTTACTATGTGTCTTGTCATAGTGTTACATTGTGTCATGCCGTAGTGTTACTATGTGTCATGCCGTAGTGTTACCATGTGTCTTGTCATAGTGTTACATTGTGTCATGCCGTAGTGTTACCATGTGTCATGCCCAGAGCATTTACTCATTTGTTCATACATTTATTTTCAGGAGTCTACACTTTGCAATGGCCACATTAAGAAGAGCCATCCCCCTCCCCCCCCCCCCCCCCCCCCTTATCAATGGTTCTCCTGTAGGCATTCAAGAGTCTGAATCTTGTCGCGCCTTTGACGACGGCGATTTTTTTTTAGCAGATTTTACAGATGGTCTAAGTTTCTACATATGGCAGTCGGTAGTGCCAGCATTCCATAATGATTGCCAACTTATTTGAAATAGATTTCGATAGAACAGTTTCAAAATATTTCGAAAATCTAATACATCAACATCAGGATAATCCAGATTTGGCCAAATGATCTGAGATCTCATTCCCATGTAAGCCAACATGTCCTGGAACCCAAACGACATCGCATGCAATGTACTTTTATGTTCATAAATGTTTCCATTTTTTAATATATCAGAAACAATGTCATCTCCGGTTCCATTTGCTCCAGCTTCCATAGCGTTAATTTCTGCCATGGAATTTGTAAAGATAATTGTTTCAGGGTCATGTATATTTATGCATCTCAGGACTAGCAAAAGGGACGAGTTCAGCTTCAAAAACTAAAAGATAATCAGAGAATCTAAACTCCTCAGAGATGGAGAAATCGGGTATTCAAAAATCCCCAGCAGTACGATAATTGGATGACTTCTTTGATGGATCAATGTATGTGTGTGTGGAATTAGAATAACGTTCAGACAGTGAGGCTTATCAACACCTCTGTAGCCTCGTGGTACACTCATTGGGCTACAGATATGAAGGATGCGAGTTCGATCCTCGGGAATATAAAGAAAACATTTGTCATTTGATTTTACATTTCATTACATGTTACAATCTGAACGGAAGTTATATTAATAAAATCCCTGGGATATTATAGCAAATATGACTTGAAGATCCTATAAAATCATTACAACGTCCCTGTTTATGAGATTTAACCCGACTGGAAAGTGAAACCTCACAATAGGTTTTAATGCCTATAGAAAGAAGTCTCTTACCTAATAGCGATCCCAATGAATAGGTTTATAAATTGAATTCAAAACTCAATCCTGGCTCGAGCAGAAGCCACTGGTTCAACTGACTTGTTAACCATGCTGAGCCGCTAGTCTCTGTTTGTTCCACCTAAACGGAATTTTGCTGTGGGACCAGTGAGACATGATATATTCCACCCTTTCATCACAATCTCTGTGCCTGCTCTGGGTTTTCAGTTTTAGGTTGGTTGGTTTGTTGTTTGACGCCGCACTCGGTAATATTCCAGCTATATGACGGCGGTCTGTAAATAATCGAGTCTGGGCCAGACAATCAAGTAATTAATATCATGAGCATCGATCCACGCAATTGGGACTGATGACATGCATCAACCAAGTCAACGAGCCTGACCACCCAATCCCGTTAGTCGCCTCTTACGACAAGCAAAGTCGCCTTTTAAAGCAAGCCTGTGTGGCTGAAGACCTATTCTACCCCGGATCTACACGGGCCACGTCTGTTGTGAGTGACACCATGTCTGTTGTGAGTGACACCATGTCTGTTGTGAGTGACACCATGTCTGTTGTTAGTGACATCATGTCTGTTGTGAGTGACATCATGTCTGTTGTGAGTGACACCATGTCTGTTGTGAGTGACACCATGTCTGTTGTGAGTGACATCATGTCTGTTGTGAGTGACATCATGTCTGGTGTGAGTGACATCATGTCTGTGTGAGTGACACCATGTCTGTTGTGAGTGACACCACGTCTGTTGTGAGTGACATCACGTCTGTTGTGTGATACCACGTCTGTTGTGTGTGATACCACGTCTGTTGTGAGTGACACCATGTCTGTTGTGTGTGATACCATGTCTGTTGTGAGTGACATCATGTCTTGTGAGTGACATCAAGTCTGTTGTGTGTGATACCATGTCTGTTGTGTGTGACATCACGTCTGTTGTGAGTGACACCATGTCTGTTGTGAGTGACATCATGTCTGCTGTGAGTGACACCATGTCTGTTGTGAGTGACACCATGTCTGTTGTGAGTGACATCACGTCTGTTGTGAGTGACACCATGTCTGTTGTGTGTGACACCATATCTGTTGTGAGTGACATCATGTCTGTTGTGAGTGACACCATGTCTGTTGTGAGTGACACCATGTCTGTTGTGAGTGACATCATGTCCGTTGTGGGTGACACCATGTCCGTTGTGAGTGACACCATGTCTGTTGTGAGTGACACCATGTCTGAGGGAGTTGATGGTAGATTAGTAAGATGGTTGGTAGTTGAGGTGGTGAATAAGTGATTGTGTTGGTTGGAAGAGTCCCGAATGAGTGACCGGTTGGGTTGATAGATTGATGACCAAGTGGCAGGTCATCATGTCGTGAGTATTCGAAACCTGCACACTCTGTTTAAGGGGTGAAGTAGTTAAAGTGTTCGCTAGCCACGCGATAGTCCTGTACTACAGTAATCTAAAATCTTCATGAAACAAAACTCACTTATTCACCATAACGACTCCTGAGCCGATGGGGTCACCAGTCTCCCAGTGACTGCACGAGGATCGGGTTGTCTCAATGTCAACCTGGCCGATTGTTTGTCATCATGACCTGCACGCTTGAAGGTGTTGCAACCAGTTAGTATGGTTCAAAAATGGCCAGTGAAATTGTTGGAATAATTACACACCCGTAAGCCTGTTTACATTTAAATGGAGCATCAACACTCTCCATATTCACATGACCCGTGAAGATTCCGGGGTAGAATAGGTCTTCAGCAACCCATGCTTGCCGTAAAAGGCGACTAAGGGGATCGGGTGGTCAGGCTCGCTGACTTGGTTGATCCATGTCATCGATCCAAATTGCGTGGATCGATGCTCATGATATTAATCACTGGATTGTCTGGTCCAGACTCGATTATTTACAGACCGCCGTCATATAGCTGGAATATTGCTGAGTGCGGCGTTAAACAACCAACCAACCATATTCACATGAAAAACCCGGGGGCATCCATCTTCCCAAGGCAAGGGCATTAACTGACTAAAAAGTATAAAAGTCCAGTGTACACGTATGCCGAACGAGGCTGGAATTTCCAGGCTCGATCGTAGCGCCATCAGTGGCTATTACGAGTTATGTCCATTGTATGTCCATCCTATTGACCAATTAGATTGCACTTTTCATACCACATGCAATGCAGAATGGCGGCGCCCAGTCAGGACGAGCTGATCGATAATCAAGACCTATATTGTAATAAAACGGTACTTACTCAGCGAAGTGCATCAAATCCCTTGAGCACCCTCATTAAAAACATGAACAGATTTCCAAAATATCTGTCGACGCCCAGTTGACGGTACACATGCTTTGTAAATCCTGCAGTCGCCCGAAATCTAAACGTTGAAATCAATGTCGTTTACGAACTCGTTCTACCAGCCAAAATTGAAACTGGACTTTTACAGTCAGTTAACGCCCTTGCCTAGGGAAGATTGCAGCATCTGACACACAAGGGATGTTATGAAGCATTCCACCTGTGGCAGCAAAACTGCAGGTGCGGAATAAATCAAAGGTCACTTACTTACTCATTTAACAATGTTTCATACTGTGCGTTATTTAGGCCGGTTCAAAATGTACAGGTCCTGCTACATATATCCTGTTGTACATTCCACGAATGGTTGGTCGATCAAAGTCCACAAAACACACAATTAGAAACGTGGCACGTATTTATTACACAAAAACATTTAACATTAACAACATGACAAGATATGTAAATATGAAAAACAATTTGAATCCGGAAACATGCAGGATGGAATGTTACTTTGACATACTGACGGTACAAATTCAAACATAGTTTGGATATTTTAATATATTTGAGTCATGTCGATTTAGACACTGCAGTGCGTTATTATGGAAGTATATATAGTAAGTACACAAGCGCAAGTACACATCTCTAACTGTTGGGATTTCTGCAAGATTAGGACTTAGTACTATTTAAAAAAAATTCTCATTCAAACATCTATTTTTTCGTTTATGATTTTTGAAATGTCGTTTCAGTGCCCCAAACCCTGTACAACCTCATATCGGCGATGCCAATCCAAGATTAAGCCACTAAGGAACATGAGGTCATCGGCGTCTAAAAATAGCAATTTTCATCGAAAACAAATAATAATCAATTTAATTACATCTAAATATGTAGTAATGATGAAAATAAATCATCCATATTTAGTTCAAACATTGCGGACAAAATTCAAAATATATTTTACTTAATGGTACTGACCAAGTATGGTTTAAAATTGTAATGATTTCTACCAAACTTAATGTTTGGCATCTGGGTAATTGCTTCAAAAAAAACCTTCAACGAACTGGTCTTTACAAGCATCGGTTATGATAAAGTGAGCTTCAATTGTAATGCCGTTCAAAAAGCGATGGTGTTTTCAGACATAGTTTACAGTATCGTAATAAGTTCAAATAGAGCGATGATGTCTTTTTGAAGTCTGAACTTTGAATTTCAAAAATCTAAATTCTGTACAGCTCACGCGAAGCCATCGAGCGACACAAAAGAGTGGCATACTTAAAGTTACACGTGACCGAAATACGTCAGTGGCATTCCCGTCCTGCACGAGACAACAGTGTCATAATTATCACTGAAAGTTAATGAGTTAATATACGCAGATTAGGCAGCCCTTGCAATGGATGTTCGATGACTAACTTGAACTTTACATGACAATAGAACAGATGTTGGCATTTGTACGTTATTGCTTGACCAGTCTTCGCTAAATAAATTCATATTCAAATTCAACTGGGTTAAATCTAAACGTGAATTTCAGTTTTCCTATAATTAAATCCACGTTTGTAATGTTCATTACTTCTCTGATTGCCCTGCAAACGTGCAGCGTTTCATTCCCAGCTCGAATTATTTGTTTGTTTGTTGTTTAACGCCGCACTCAGCAATATTCCAGCTAAATGACGGCGGTCAATAAATAATAGTCTGGACCAGACAATCAAGTGATTGACAACAGGAGCATCGATCCACACAATTGGGATACGATTACATGCATCAACTAAGTCAGCGAACCTGACCACCCTCACGTCAATCACTGGATTGTCGGGTCCAGCCTGAATCATTTACAGACCGCTGCCATATAACTACAATATTGCCGAGTGCGATGTTATTCAACAAACAAATACATACAACCCCGTGAAGTACAGTCGACGCGATGGGCCGCGTAACTTAACCATGGATACATGAATCAGCCGTTACTTTATTGGGTCCATACTCAAACATCGGGTATGGGCAATTGTTAACCATGCTAAATAAATACGTTTGTGTTCCATGAATCAATCATGGCCAAAACGAAAGCGATTAATATATACTCTTGGCATATAAGTAAATGCGTAACGAACAATCAAACAATCAAGCAGTAAATCAGATGGAATAAATGAAGGAAATGATTATGACATGGAGGTATTCACCAGGCTAGGGGTTCATCTCACTGAAAACAACAACGTGAAACGATACTCTGAAAGAAAAGCAGAATAAGATATATGCAATGGGATCAAAGAAACACCTGTCAACACACGCCCCTCGTTTTGAATTAGGCACGTGAGCCTCGTTCTCATAACAGTTCAGGGTCGTAATATCGCGAGAACCGGATTTCCTCCTCCTGCGGATGTGGGTCAAATCTGCCTGGTTGTTTATGTCATGACCAGATTTCAAGTGTTTTCAAACTTATACATTTCAACTTTCAGTGAGTTGGTTTTAAAGCTGCTTGAAACGACATCTCAGTCTTATCACGGCGTGTCAGCTTAATGTGGGAGGAAATCCCGAAGCGATGCAGGTCAGGCGATGCAGCCAAGTAACACGATCAGGGTAAATCTGGGGTGCAAAGCCGGCGAACAGTTTTTTTCAGGACATCCAAAATTGACAAACAAAATCAACAGTAAAACGATGTACAAGTGTCAGTGGAAACAGTAGAAATGTTGACGTGTCAGTAGAGTAACGATGTAATGAAGGCACTCGTGTGTATCACAGGTGGAATGGGAACCACCTTTGGGGTGCGTGGCACCTGTCTGGGTAAGTAACTGGAGTGGCGCTCTGCAGTGCGGTCATTAATGCATAAAGGCAGTTTTCTCATGAGGCGTAGATCAGCATTCATTCCAGAAATTGTCCACTATTTTAACATGACTTAACTGAAATAAACACCCTGGAACTTAAGAGATACGACCCGGCTTTTCTCGTAAACATAACTAGATCAGATAAACACCCGGGGAGCATAAACACATGTTTATTCATACAATCAGACCTTCACTTCCGAAATAATACTAACAGGCAGTACCATGTTGTCCGAGACGAACCCGGAGAAACAAAGCAGCTTTGTGGAGCACTTCCCGCGAGATAGGAGATATCATTGTTCCCTTGAACAACTTTGATATGATAGATCAATCACATTACTGGCAGCGTGTAGCATGGGAAATGACACTGAGAAGTAATATGATAACATGCCCCAAATAGCTTGGCTTTTGTCGGACCACAAATATATTGCAGAGATAAATACTACTGTATGGCAGATTTCAAAGCAAAATTATATTTTTCCCGTCAAAAAGTACAATTATTTACTCGGCGTTCATAGAATGGGGACTACAATCAAATGTTGGAACCCCACCCCTGAACATATTTAATAATCTGCCCCTAACATATTCTTACATTCCCAACTGTATGTATTTACTCCATCGTCCGCTCCTACTCTGTATCAGTAGGTCTGTAGGATGTAGTAAATCCTTTGAAACAGCCTGCTACATGTACTACATTATTACGAGGGGCATATGAACGTAATATGCGCCAAGCACGGGCATAACACGAATGAATAATACATTACCCTGGCCGTGTTGAACACGTCCATCACGTATATTATGACATGAGATCTTAGTTGACTTAAAGTAGCCTTTGAAACGCGGTTCTATTGTGCAACTGGCACTTACAGATGATCGTTCGGATGATTGGAAGACTTTCGTAAAGGGCCTTCTCCATGACACCATGGAATCTCAATATAGCTTTGACTTACGATAAGTCTGTACTAACATGAGTGAGTGAGTTGGGTTTAATGCCGGTTTTAACAGTTATATCACGGCGTGTCAGCTTAATGTGGGAGGAAAGCCCCAAGTGATGTAGGTCTCAGACGTTTACCACTTCGGTGAAACCCACGAGCACGGGTATGGTGCTGACCAACCTAGAAACATAATCGGGGCGAACCGGGATTCGAACCCACAATCATAGGTTTCTGGCGTGCCCAATGGACCTGTACTAACATGACTTTCGGGAACGGCTACTGTTGTGGACTGGTTGACACGCATGAGAGGAGACGTATTTGTAAAACGTAGGCGCCACGGTTGATCGTACAATGCTTTTTGTTTGACAGACAGTTTGATTTTTGTTCGTGGGGCACAAACGCAACATACAATCCGGCAGCCACGTGAACGACAGAGACACAAAAACAGATTCTGAATAACATTATTATATGTTTTGAAAAAAATCAAACTGAAGGTTAAATTTCGACAAAATGGCGGGATCGTTGTCGCTCTGGACTTGCCGACTGAACAATCATGTTGGATATTTGACAGGTGGCGATAGATTAATTTTGGGTTACTTTTGGAGATAAGCAGCCGGTGTTTTGTGTGAACTCATGTTATCGTACCCCGACTGCGTGCCAACGTTCACATTGTGGAGCCTAATTAGCCTTTATAAAGTTCATTATCAAATCTTGCTGAACTGGGCACCGGTTCACAAAGTCATCTCAGCGTTACGACAGTCTTAAGTCTGTGTTAAAGCATGGGAGTTGCGACATGTTGCAATTTATCTGGGTTTTTTTTAAGAAGGTTCCGACAGCAACCGGGCCAATCATTTAATGTGGAACCATTTCCAGTCTTTAGCCAATCAATATGTGGTCTATTTTCAGGCTTGCGGCATTTTCTCTAATTTTGGTTTTACAAACTTTGTCCCGTTATTTCTGTTAACATTGTGAAGTTACGTCAAAGCCTCGTTATCTCTCATCATTATTGCTTTCTATATCACTGTTATTGCACATATGCCTTGCACGACTGAGTCAGGGGAAGAGACTAGCGCCCATCTGGTAACGTTGTATCCAAACCAATCAATGAAAGGATGAGGCGAGATATGGAGAACTCTTCGCAATGCCACTATATAACCGAATCCAACGAGCACAGGTATGGTGCCCACTTGCACAAAGCGATCTTAGCGCTACGACCATTGTAAGCCTATGTTAAAGTATGGGAGTTACGATTATCTTAGTGCTAACATCGCTTTGTGCAAGTGGGCCCAGGTCGACTGGAAATAAAATTGTCAAGCCCGAGATTGTATAGACAAAAAGTCCTTTCGACTTATTTGAGCGAAATTGTGAATCGTAGTGTTGTTACAATATGGATGAATTACTGCCGACGTGACTTAAAACTATACTCACTCACGCATAACACATTGCACTAAAGGGATGTGATACCTTGCATCAGACTCTGGACAAAAAGAGCTCATATCTTGTATCGCACTCCACACACTTGAGCTGCAGTTGGCATGGCAATCCACAAAATGGTGCTCACAATTTGCATCGCAATTGATAAATGTAGATATATGTACCCACATACTTACTCATCCCACCAACCAATACCCCAATGTAAGGTCCGTGTAAATCGTGAGACTTTGGTCACCCAGCAATCGTCAATTAATACCTCTTACCAACTTGGAATGAAGGCTTTCAGATCATATGGGTTACATGGTGTTACTTTAGACTTGGAGAAACAATACACGTCTTCCTTCCGACCCCTGTACCACGCTGCGATGCGGGCCAGGCCGCTCCGGCTGATGACGAGGACGTCACACGTGGACAATATCAACTGGTCCAGTATCACCTTAGCAAAACCATCACACACATTGGCACCATTCGTCCTTTCAACATGGACAATATTGCCTTCCATGTCAATGATTGTGCCGGGAAATTCTTTCTTCGCGGTCTTCCGGACGTCTTCGGAATCTGAAGTCACGAATATCCTGTATTTCGTTATATCATTGTACGGCTTGAGGAAATCCCACACTGCTTTCACACTCTCGAATGTATTGAATTGCTCAGTGTCAGTTGGGACGGTGGGGTTCTTGCCCAGACGGACCTGCGCACAGGCTAGCTTTACCCCCTTTTCTCTGGGTATCCGGGAAGTGAAGTTGGAAAGCCTCTGAACAAGGTTGGGCTTCAGTTTGAATAACTTTTTGAGAGTGTCTGTATACACATCCGCCACTCGTAACTTCCGCATCCATTCCGTTTGGTTGGAGTAACGCGGGTTTTTTATAAGATACTCTACATATTCCATATTACTTGTAAAATACACCACATCCTCAGGGAAATTGGATATGAGATCAATGGAAGACATTTTCTTTCGCAAACTATCTGCGTTCTTGTCGATCTCCTTAACATGTTTCACGCTCAAGCCTTCCAGTTCCCTCGGAGTTATCTCCCATGGTTTTAGGTTCCCCGCTAGGTGCGTAGACAGATCACATGGGGTCGTTATCCTGACCCTGAACTTCCGGCCCATGAGTTGGGCCAACACGTAGGCTGAGACGATGCCTTTCTGTCTGTCGGCCCATCCACCGCAAGGGAAACTGCCATCACATACGTACACAACATACTGGTCCGTGCCGTTTTTCCGGACGGCTGACACAAAGCCTATTCCGCCAGTGTAGAAATGTGTGTAGAGAAGCAGCAGGGCCCCGACACAGAGTATCAGCAGCCATAGTGAACGGTACTTCATCTGAAACCACAAAAGTAAATATTTACTGAAGATACGAGCTGGTCTTGAAGGTTCCACACATCTCAAAAATCTTTTTTGCCAATATTTAACACCGAATATTTAGCCTTGTCTTTGGCAAATGATGTTCAAATTGAGTACACCTAGCGGTGAACTGGTACCCGGTAAGATAAGATTAGCAGAGTGAATGCAAAACTTCCTAAAGCCACGTACGCATCTTTGGATTTATATTCCTCAGGGAGATGAGAATACAGTATGTTACGGAGTAGTAATTATGCTGCCTATGAGCAGCGTGTGCTATGTGGAATTTGGGGCTGCTGGGATATTTGTTCGGTCACTGCTCAATTACAAATAGTTTACTCTATGAAAGGTGGAAACGAACACATTTTCACACATGCACCGAATATCCAGTCAACAATTATTTTCTCTATTTTTTTGTAACATTTGCTTCAAAATGTTTCTCCAGCATTTTTTCAAAGAAGTTATTCTATTAACAAGATTAATGTAAATTATAAGGGCACAGAAATAAGACGTACATTATTACATACATAATCTCGTAAAAGGCGACTACGTTTGTCGTAAGAGGCGAGGTGGTCAGGCTTGCTGACTTTGTTGATGCATGTCATCGTATCCCAACTGCGTGGATCGATGCTCATGATGTCAATCACTGGATTGTCTGGCCCAGACTCAATTATTTACAGACCGCCGTCATATAGCTGGAATATTGCTGAGTGCGGCGTTAAACAACACACAAACAAAACAAAAAAACACATAATCTATATTTATTTGAATTTAAAATTAGCAAAGATTAGACAGTCAGATAACACACTTCTCCCCGGCGTGTTTAAACATGTCAATTAACACTTGAATATGGAAATAAAACACACCTTTGCATGGTAATTTTGCAAAAACATCGAAGCAGCGAGCTTCAAGAGTTGGTACAGAAAATACACCAATATGGAAGGTGTCGAATCATCTCAAACAAAATAAAACCCAAACTCCACCTTCATCATACGCTTATTAATGACAAAAAAATATGTCGCGGGTCACGACCCAGGTAAACCGTTTTCACAAGTGACCCGTTAAGATCCGGGCTCGTATAGGTCTACAGCAACCCATTCTTGTCGTAAGAGGCGACTAATGGAATTGGGTGGTCAGGCTCGCTGACTTTGGTTGCTGCATGTCGTCGTATAAATATTGCGAGGACCGATGTTACAGGCCGGCCTCACAAAACTGGAATATTGCTGAGTGCGACCAACCAACAAACCAACTTAAAAATGTATTAATTCGACAGTTAACTTGTTCATACAACACTCCGAAGATAAATAGAAAGATAGAATGGGCGTGACTTACCGGGTTAGCGAAAACAACAGATTTATCATTTATAACGGTCTACGTAAATCGTTGCACACGACACGACACGACACGACACGAAACATGACACGCATCCACACAATGTCAAACACAGGTCAGCTGACATAACGCAGCTGCACATGCTAGCTTTATAGCAGACCCTTTGAAGACTTCCTCCAGGCAAAGAAATAAATATACAGCCTGAACGTATTACTCCTGTGAAAAAAACACGGCGTTGTCGTATCCGCCAGACGGACAATGTCTCAGTCGTAAGCTTGTCCGACTCGCACCCGACTCACCTATCCAATTCCCCGGCGCAGTCTCAAACCATTTAAAAAGCCGAAAACGTCAGCTACGTACGTACACACACACCATATAACACTATTCTCGGTAATGAAAGACCGCTTCATCACGTATCCTCTACATGACGACAGATCAACAACCGGTTTGTTTGAGGTGCGGCTATAGTGTTTGCCAGTGTTGAGATAAGATATCTTTCCTATAAAACGGACGCCCAAACATACCAAAGTTAACATAAGCTGTGTATATTCGCCTGTTATGCAAACAATCATATTCAAAATCGTGCTAAAACGGAAGATATAGTTTGAGGGTAGGGACAATGTTAGAGAATTAATCTACATCGATCACCAAGACATTGAACAACAGAAGGCTGAGGGGTCGTCCATTGAATGACAGAGACCGACCATTTGAAATTCGTATGTGTGCGTGCGTGCGTACGCGTGTCCGTTTGTTTTAAGGTTTTGTAAACAATATTTAGGCTAATATTTTTTATCAAAAATACATCTGGGTTTGCCACTGTAGCTGAAAAATATCCAAACTCTCGTTTGTTATGATCACGGAAAGGGTTTTGTCGCTTATATGTACAGAATACTTTCTACTCTTCTCCAATGGAATGCTGTATAACCAAGATATAACTAACATCGTGTGATCTGCACAATAATGCCTTATATCTAAAGCTTGTCATTAGGTGACCTTCTTTAATTGCCACTTGTTGGGGGAGGATTACTTTAAGCATATCATCTATTTGTTATATCCTTCTAATCATTAAATATATTAGCTTATCTGACTACAGTAAACTACGTTTATAACGAACACTCTTATAACGAACTGATCGATATGGCGAACTTATTCTATAGTCCCGTCTATTTGTTGTATGTATGCTGAATATACGCCTATAACGAACTGCAGAAACATAATCGGGGCGAACCGGGATTCGAACCCACAATCATAGGTTTCTGGCGTGCCCAAGGGACGCAACTCTGCATAGCGAATCGTGGCGCCTTAGACGACTGGGCCACCCGTGCCCCCATTACGACGTAACTGCATGGTGTGGGAGGAAAGCCCGAAGTGATGCAAATATTAAACGTTTACCACAAACGAGCACGGGTAGGGTGAAGGTGACAAAGAGATATATGCGGGTGAATATGGGATTCGAACCCACGAGCATGGGTTTGTGCCACGCCCAAGGGGGAAGCACTGTGAGTGAGTGAGTATGGTCTTAAGACGCTTTTAGCAATATTTCAACAACATCACGGAGGGGGACACCAGAATTTGGCCTCACAGATCGAACCCAGGCCTTCGGCGTGAGGAACGAACGCTTTAACCACTAGGCTACCCCACCGCCTCGGGAGGCACTGTGAATTGTGTAGCGTAGACGAGCGGGCCGCCGGACACTGGGCCACCGGTAAAACAACCCAACAAAACATTGTATTGAACGGTGTGAGGGCCCTTCACCAAAACCGAAGGTTCATAATTTAAAACACAGTATTAAAGGCGCTTAACTCGACATGAACATTCTACCACCCGAGTATCTCAAGGGTCTGAACATGTCACCACTCACTCATTCACTCACTGACGGTGCTCATACAGACCAATGGACTCTTTTTAAGACCTGTCAAAGAAGAACACTTGTTTACAAGGACCACTTCTATTCATCAGCAGGAACATCCAGACTGTACAAGGAGGTTGTGCTCAGCACTTTACACTGCGTTTTAGCTATATAAATTTCACATTCACACAAAGTAATGAAGCTAACGCTCTGCTCGGCTGCTTCTTGTTCCAGGTGGTCGAAGGGAGTGTGTGTGTGTGTGTGTGTGTGTGTGTGTGTGTGTGTGTGGCAGCAATGTATTATTCATGACTTAGTCTCGTTTATTTTGGGAGGTCGTGGCTCAGGTGCCACTCAAAGAAACTAAAGCATATAACCTATAATAGACGACACATGCTATTTTCCTGTCTTATGTCGGCGATTTTACTAATATTCCAATATTTTTCAAGTACTGCCAATAACATTCCAGCACTTTTCTAGCACTTCAATGGTAAAACGTCAGAATTAAGCACTTTTCATCGAACAAGGCTAAATCCAAGCACTTTTCAATTTTTTGCGAACCAAGGAACTATCGTCCGTTGGACTCCATATATGCAGATGCCTTCCATGAGGGACAAATATATAATGTGCAATTGAACTGTATCATATTGCGTTATGTAATTTTGAACTGATAAGGTACATCATTTGTGATTTGTAACTTGTATACACAGGTGAGCCAGTGATAGAGAAAAGTTTTATGCCGCTTTTAGCAATATTTAAGTAATATCACGGCGCACCGTCTCAACTACAACTGGGAACATCCGGTGGCAGAAGGACATACCTCCCCAGTCAGTAATACACGTACTTAAGAAAACATCACACCACAATTCTGAACGTAGATCTATGCCGAACTCACGTTTAGAAGAGGCATTTTTGGTTGTTGGGTTCCCGCTCATACGTGCTAGGTAAGCTGGTTCCCGGCTCCCTATGCGCGTCGCCAACTTTCGCTATATTGTGATATGAGAGACGGGGTCCAGTTTACGTGCTAGGTTACCGATGCTGGAGAGGGAGATCGTGACGTCACTTCCACAACGAAGCTTTTGTGGTGTATGAGTCCAGGGAATAGATATACAATACGGTGGATAATCGAGGACGTGTGATACGTGGAAAAAAAGTCACAAGTTTCATCTTTAGAAATATCGTAATCTGTACATATCTACGAAGCTGACTATAACCTTATCTTAAAGTGAGGTTTGTATAACAGAGCACCAAACGAATCGTTAACGTGCACACAAAGCACTTGAGCAGTTTGAAATGTTTGATCTCACTCGACAAAGTTGGGTGTGATGCATAACTCCACACATCACCATGGAGATAACTGATAAGTATTCTTATTATTCACGGTTTAGCATGATGATGTGCATGGCATTGTTTATACCGCGTGTTGTACGTGACGTTGCTAGGATACGTATACTGCATCGACAGTTTTGGAATACTACTGATATAATCACATTAACAGTCGTCGCGGTCGTTCTCATACGTAGATATTGTCCGTGACATCGACTGAATAACACGAGTGAGTTTGATTTTACGCCGCTTTTAGCAATATTCCAGCAATATCACGGCGGGAGACACTAGAAATGGGCTTCACACATTGTACCCATGTCGGAAATTAAACCCGGGTTTTCGGCGTGACGAGCGAACGCTTTAACCACTAGGCTACCTGACCGCCCCTGAATAACACGAATCCAAGGGGAGTCCGTTGCGTAGTAAAATAGTTCTCAGTGAGTGAGTATGGTTCAACGACGCTTCTTTTAGCAATATT